CACATTCATTTTTATATATATAGATATATTGTATGTAGTTATGCCCCAGAAGTAGTCAGTGCAATGGCATTTCTTGTATTTTTGAGCTTTTAAATGGAATGTGTCTCTAGTAAAGTGGGAAACAATTGATTCTTAGCATTGTTTTGAGAAGTTGTTCTAGATTTTACCCCATTTTTGTGGGTCTTCAAGATTCCAGATAGGCTAATTTTGGGGGCTCTATATCGCAAAAGGTCACATGTAGACCATCGGTTCCTTTTGACTATTTTACTCCTGTGATCATGTTCTACACATCTGATAAGGCATCATTAACTCAACACCGGAGGGTAGTCTTAATAACAAAATCTTCAAACCAAATTTTGTTAATTTACATCTGAAAAGGTCCCAATTGTCTCATTCAGAGTTTCATTTTTACCATTATTATTAGTGCATGATTTCTTAATAGTTATTTTGGCTTCATAAAAAAAAAATTAATTTTATCTTTGATTTGTGCAAAATTTAATTATTTTATTTGGTTACCCATTCAAACTCATCTGTCACTTTGTAAGCAATGTGACAAATACATGGTATTGGAATGCAACATACAACACATGGAAGGATAATCCCCAAGTACCCTGAATCTTTCTCCGGACAGCATTGAATAGAGATACTTTAATTATGATCCCTCATCATTAAAGAAACAAGTTTGAAGTGGAATTCAAATAAATTATTGATAATGAATGTTACCTAAAATGAATAAGTTACTGATATTAACATCATTAAATTATAATTTTAAGGCAAGAAAAATTTTATTTATATATAATACTATAAAAAGTGTAAATTCTTGATATGTGGAACTAACGTATTCACCATTTGTAGAAATTTGTTGAAAAAAAAAATTCTTAAAAATACTCTAATTCAGTATGGATAAAGCATATTTTTGATAGCACAATGCTTTGATAATGCTAATTCATTCTAAGCAATACATTAATTTTATAATTCAGTTTATATTTTAATATTTGTGATCATTGTAGCATGTAAATGATTCATAATAATTTTTTAAAGAATTAATTATTAACTGAACATAAATACTAAAATATGCACAAGCCACCATTATGGTAAAATTTCAATCCATATTCTGAACAGTTTAAAAAGCTTGGTCCACTGATAAAATTATAATCACAATACAGAAAACAATTAACCACAGTTAAAAGTCTGAAGGGCATTTCCTTTGGACTTTTAAATGATTTTCTGCTTATTTTAAAGTGTATTTCAGAGTAATCCTTTGATCAAAGTGTGAGGTAAACTGTCTTCTCCAGATAGAGCCAATGAATCCAGGTTGTGTAGTTTAGTCCAATTCAGAAGAAAATTCACAAATCAGTAAATAAAATCACCTTTCAGCCACATTAAAAACTGAAGACTTGTAAAACATATTAACTTCCATCTTCTTCAATTGCTTTTTAAATTCCTTCAGTTATTTCCATTCAGCTTTGGTGATGTGAGGGCTACAAAATAAAATCAAAGATTAAACTGAATTAATTGAATTGAATTAAAATAATGTTCAGTTTATTAGAATTGTACTTACTGAAAAGATGATTCTTCAGGTATCTGAGTGTGTACTTGAATCATTCATACCCGATCCACTTTTTATTTCTTGAAACCACTACAGCAGGAGCAAATTTCTTCCCTTTCTTTAGCAGCTTCATCAGGGCACCACTTCCAGAATTAGTCTGGATAAAGCTTGCTGCAGTCAAACTCCATGACCTCTGTCTCATGACTTCAATCTCCTCATAACTCATGTAAGCCAATCTGTCTTATATCTTGGATTGATCCCAATGGATTTTCAGTTTCACCCATTCAAGAAGACTCTAAAGGAAGGCCAATAATTTGCAGATCCTTCGAATATTAGGGATTCTCTGAGGAATCTAGCAAAAAACAGTCTTCAGAGTCTTTAAATTTTTGGATGATTTCTGATGGATCTAGTGGAAATCTACTAGTTTTTGGATTCTCTGGATTTCTAGGGTGTTCTGGGGATTTGGGCAGAATCCATGGATTGCTAAATCCTTTGGATGTTCTGTGGGATAATCACCCATTTCTTCATCTCGCTACACTTCTTTTTTTAGTTGTAGGGTTTCTGTCTGAAGATCCTACTCCAAATGCAAGCTTAAAAAGTAAATGAATGCACTTAAATAACAATCAAAAAACAAAGTACTATTTATGATCAATAACGATTTAACCATTCATTGTTAAAAATAATGATTTTTGTTTACAGATTTCACTTTCCATCTCATTTCAAGCTAACAGAAGTTATTTAAAATAAAATTTCCATTACTGATTAAAATTATATATATATTTTTTTTGCAAATTTCAAAATTGTTAAAATATGTTAAGATAACCAGAAATTACAAAAATTTAACATCAATTTATTTATTATTATGATAACACAATGAATATAAATTGTGATAAACAATAAAACCAGTCACAAAATTTTGAAATTCAATCTGTGGACTGAGATATTTGAGATCAAAATTTGCCATGTCTCTGGTTGTAAGCTGGTGACACTATATGTCAATTGAGTGTCCAATTGCTAGAAATTTACATTGATCTTTTTTAAATTTTTTTATTTTGATCTTTATAATGTGTGTTTAACATGCATGGCCTGCAGCCTCACATGTGCATGTTTTAAACATTTCTTGACTTTTTTTTGTCAACTATGATGATGGACATGAATGTCCTCTCCAGAACCTGCATGATTTAAACTGCTTTAGGCAATTTTAGAAGTACATCACCATATTTGTGTTTTTGTGAAGCTGGAACAGAAAAACCTACACTGCAGAGCTCAGTTTCATTTTCCTAGAAAATACCTAGTCTTATGAATATTCTTTCAAATTTTTGGTAAAATGGTTTCATTCAAATTTGATTTCACAATATTTTTCTATCTCAAATATTTGTTATTCAGAAATAAGAGATGATATTATTTTTCATTTTAATTCCAATTTTAAAATACTTTTAGTAGTATTTTTCATTAAAAAATTATCTTCAATTTTATTTTTAGAGAAATATTAAGTCTGTTTAAAAAGGAACCACCATTTATTCACTTTCACTGTTCTGGAATACAAACTTTTGACGACCAGTCTTTCTCTGTACACTACTTGGCCATCAAAATCAAAAGTTCCCTTAAAAACAGAAAAAATATACAATTAAAAACACAAGTCTAAAAATTGGAACTGGCAATGCCACAGACATCATCTTCCTTTCCTGTCTGTGTCATTGCCAGTACTGATTTTTAAACTTGTGTTTTTAATTGGATATTTTTTCTGTGTTTTTAAGGGAAGTTTTAATTTTGATGGCCAAGTAGTGTACAGAGAAAGACTGGTCATCAAAAGTTTGTATTCCACAACATTGAAAGTGAATAAATGGTGGTTCCTTTTTAAACAGATTATCTTCAATTTTATTTTTAAACATAACAACCTGACAGAATTCTACATTATTATTTCTTGTTAAAAGTCTGATATTTAAATACTATACAAAAAACTGTTATTTTCATTAAATACACAAAAATTCCTGTATTTGAAGCATTATTGCTAATTTGCTTAAAAATAATATAAAGTATTTTTTTTATATAATACAATAAGTACATTTCGTGTATAAAAAATACTATATACTTCTTAAAATAAAAGAATAAAATTCAACATTAAGTTATACAATAAGACCCCGCTTAATGCTGCCTCAATATAATGTGGTCTGCTTGAAGCCTAAAAAAAAAAGCTCAAAATTTACACCAATTCAAATTATCGCAACATTTCATCAATTCGTATATAATACAATTATTTACGAACACGAACCAATCGGCAAAAGGTGGCAATTCATCATAGCACTGAACTTCCCTTAAATCTATGTTTTGTGGTGCAATTTTGGAAAAAATATAATACCATGGATGCCATAGGAAATATCAATTTTACTTGGCAAGAATTAACTGATAAATGCATGAAGTGTGGAAGAAGTTGTGACTGAAGCTATCCAAGAATTCTTAATGAGAAGAGTCTGTCGGTGTATCGTTAGATTGACCAAATTATCAACCTAATCGATACAGCAAGACTAGGAGATGTAGAAGTGCAGGATTCTGGCCAGAGCCTTACCAACTACAATCTTCGAGAACTGGCAGAACAAGGAATTCATTTGCAACTGGAAAATAGTGATTCTGAAAACGACAAGCCATTGTAAGGAAATCTGTAGAATTTCTCTACAGATTTCCTTAGTAAAAGTTTGGTAACAATAACCAAAATTGTTGATCAAATTATAACAAATTACCCAGATTTTGAAGGAATGCAAAAGCAAAATGAGGTGTTTTGGATGTGATCTTCCGCTACCGACATTTGCTGAAGAAAAGAAAAAAAGCAACAAATAAAACTATACGACTTTAATGCAAAAAGCAAGAATTTCAGAAGAGCCAAGACCTTCGTCACAAAAAATGAACTTTACATTTCTGTGTGCACATGTTTGTGTGTTATTTAACATATTATGCAAATTAATATAACAACAACTTAAAATTAAAGTAAAATCTGTTTATTTTGGTCGTGTGTTCCCCTTTCCCTATTTACTCTTATGTTAAAATGACCTCGTTCAATGCTGTTTTGTTTAGCGCTTTCTCATCTAGGAACGTGTCCCTCGCATTAAGCGGGTCTTACTGTATATGAATTTTACATGTTTAATTGTTATTGTTTTAAATTACTTTTATGGCCAATATTTACAATCAAGGATCAAGAATTAGAGTTAGAAGCTAACCAATTATCATTCACTACTTCTAGTACACAAATGCTTATCGGTTAATTTTTAACTCTAACTCTTGATCCAGGTTATGATTATGACTGTTATTGGTGCTTGTTATGTACATTTGTTGTATTGGGAAGGCCAATATTGTCCTTGTCATATTCCCTTTGTATTAATTTAAAAAATAAAAACAACTTTATGCAAACTTTTTTAGAACAGATTTATTTCTAAAATTATATATAAATTTTAATAAAAAATTATTTATATAAAAATTTTCATATTAAATTCACAGGCATGTTTTTAACTGATATGATATATTATAAATATATGAAAAATATTTCATAAATGTACAAGATGCATAAAATATTTTAAATGATATAATTATTTGATTGAATCTTTTCAATTCCTTTAGCTCTTCATTAAGTACATTTACTTCAAATGGAAAATGAACAAATGTTTTAAAAATTTAATAGCCAAAAAAACATTCTTTTTGCTTCATCTGCTATCAATAAACATTTCTCGTTTTCTTAATACTTCTGCAAAAATATATATATCTACTTTATAATTTAAAATTTTAATGTTCTTGTAATTCTGGGTCAATTAAAGATAACACATTACCAACCAAATGTATACTTCCTGTTACAAAAAGAGATAAGTGTTTAGCTGTTACCAAATTTAATGGAAATGATGAAAAATTTGGAATTGGCATTGTTAACATTGGCACTTTTTTCTTTAAATCGGAATTGTGATTATTGCAAATGAATTGCAAGGCGTCTTTCAAACATGAAAAAACTATGGTATTGTTATTATTTTGTTCTGACGAATGTGATAGAAGTGACTTGGATAAAGTTCCTGTGGCATTGGATGATATTTCTTCTTCATAAACAGAACTTAAAAGGTAATTCCATACTTTCATATTTCTTTCACACTGTATTAATTCTTTATCTGGATCCACTGTAAAATTGCTTTGATCTGTAAAAGCAAAATAATATCAAACTGCAAATAAACCAATTATCCTATTATACTGTATAACTACTACAGGTGCTCCCCTGCCTACAAACAGGTTAGGTTTCCGAGGTTTTGTCATAAGTCAAAAACTGACCTAGAAAGTACATTTGTACACAAAATAACCACTTAGTGTTTTATCCTTCAATGTACTTAATAAAATACATTACACTCATTTATCTGCTCATTACTTCTTAGTAGCAAGTGTTTCAAACATGGTTTTTTTCCACCTTATGCACTTACTTTTATAATGTCCAGTTTAGTTTCCACAGAAATAGAATCATACTTCTTGCATTTATCTCTACTGCTATATTTATTATTATGTATTTTTGAAGCACTAATCTTAAAAGTTTATGAAAATTGCAAATAATAGTGAAAACACCATTACTTCAACATTACTAACTTTGACACCAACTCACAAGCAGCAATGGACCTCAGAATTCATGCAAAAATGAAAAATAGGGATATACAATAAAAATAAGTCCACATTAATTAGTTATTAAAAATTTATTATTTATTACTGGCCAAAAGCTGACATCAATGCCACCTCACAAACATCAAGAGAACTTCAGAATCTACACAAAAATTAAATTTAGACACATGTTGAAATTATTTGTAAATTTGAAAGTTTATTAGTTGAATATGCTTAAGTAGGAGAGCACCTATACAAAAAGAAACTCAATTATCCAAACTTAATACCAGGGATCCTTCAGAGAAATTTTTGCAGCACTACAATTAACAGATGATGTAATCATTTCCAGTTACATGGAGAATTTGATCTTTGTATATATTATACTCTGTGATATATACAACAGTACATGTTCTAGTTGTCTCTGTAAACCATTTTGGATAATCAAGTTTCTACCTATATACATTCATTAAACCAAATAATTGCCATAATTAATTGGGCTAATTAAGTGCTATTATTAATGATTGACTATTAAGTAATTTAGTACTAGAGGTAAGTGTTAAGTGCCATCTCTTATTAAATTTAAATAATTATAATATTAATTTAGAATATTCTGGAAGAAAAGAATCAGTCTGAAGTGGGACTCAAACCTGCAAGTCCTACTTACTGTTGTGGATTTGAGTCCCGCTTTGGGCGGATTCATTTCTTCCAGAATATTCTAAATTAATTAATAAATATTGTAATTATTAATAAGAGATGGTGCCTAATGCTCACCTCTAGCATGATTATTCTAGTTATTCTATATTGTATTCTAGTATTCTATATTGTCATATTTTTAATTTTCTTTGATATTCAAATGTTGATCCATCTGATGATGATTTGTGAAATAAGTTGAAAACATTACTGAGAAACTTAATTTTCATTAGATAAAAGTTTATTCTATTAGTTACTTACAATTTAGATAGTTTCCTAGTATTTTTATTGGCCACTGTGTTACCTATAGACTTATTAACTTCTCTTATGAAAAAATGAATTCTTGTGGTTACATAAAACTGACTTGTGTGTGAAACTAATGATCTTTACATTTTAAAGTGATTAAGGCCAAGTTGCTATCTGTTACAATATCATCAAATATTCTAACAACAAATTTCTTATCTTATACTTACTGAGAAATGTGTTTTTCACACAACAGTAGTAAATGCAGGAGTCTTCCATGGCTTTTGGTTACGGTCAGCCCTGCAATTTTCTCTCTTGGTTCCTTCTGCTCCTGGGAAAAATAGTAGGAATTGCATCCTGTCTTAGTGTTGGTTGTAAATGCTTCTCTATGTTTTTCCCTTTAATAATTACATAGTACGTCCTTATAATGTAATGATTATCAAAATGCAACTCACAAACAAAGAAGTTCTTGTGATTTCAACATCTCTTGGTATATTCCTTTTTCATGCATTTTGTTTTACTGGATCTCTCAGAAATGAAAACAGGGTACACTTTTCTTTACAAGAGGCATAGTCACTTTTACACCCCAGAATACAGCACTTAGAAGGCATTATTACATCAAAACTAAACAATTTCTATATTAACAAACCTGATATAGCTGTAGCAAACTGCTATATGGCCTGACTTGCTAGCAGTGCCGCCCTGGTGGCAAAGTTTCTCTAGACACTTTATCGACACACTTCTTATGGGAGTTGTTCTAGTAATTATATTACTAGAACAACCTTACTTAAGAGGCACGATTACTAGAATATAAACCTTATATTCTAGTAATCGTGCCTCTAGTACCAAATTACTTAATAGTCAGTCATTAATAGTAGCACTTAATTATCCCAATTAATTACAATGAACATTTGGTTTATTATTATTACATTCAGCTTAGTGATGTTTATATATATTCATTCATTATTCAAAAGTTCAAAAAAGAAGTAATAATTTCTTATATTTCATATAAAAATTAACTGTAAAAGATTTCCATATTTTCCAAAACAACTAATGTTTTTTGAATGAAATTTTGTTTCCAAATTTATTAAGGATTAAATTTATAAAAATTTAATCCTTGTTGAAACAATGTCAAAATAATACTCCACTAATCATTTAAAAATAGAAAAGTAATCTTATAAACTATTAAATAATATGCAGAAATAACAAGAATCAATTGTTAATTTCTGATGCTAATCATACAACCAAATTCTTATTAAAACAAATTGTCATATTCTCAAATTGGTTGTACTCTATTAGAATTTCACTATTCTATTCAGTTTCTTAATACTTGAAGACAAGTTTGCCCAAGTAGGGATCACCATTTTTAGTTTTTGCGTTCTAGACAATACATTTCTGGTGACCAACCTTCCTTTCTAGGCTACTAGCTGCCAAAAAGTTTAAAAAAGTCCTTTTAAAAACACAAAGATTTTCTAAAATCAGAACTGGTACTATACAAATGTCTTTCTTGTTACCATCTGTACTTTCTCGGGGGTGTTTTGGCCGTTTATCCACAGAGAAGAGAGCACTGGAAAATGTAGATTAAACAGTCTTCAAGTATTAAAAAATAAAAAAACCATCAGACGAAAAAATTATGAATTATGACTGTAAAATATCACCACCAGGGGAACCTGTTTAATCTACATTTTCCAGCGCTCTCTTCTCTGTGGATAAACGGCCAAAACACCCCCGAGAAAGTACAGATGGTAACAAGTGTGACAATGCCGAAGGGCATCCCTATACTTTGGCACCACATGACCGAAGGGTCGACATCGCGTCGGCAAAGATCGCAATGACAGGTTTCGTCAGGACTGACACCACTGTATCTTCACGGCTAGACACAGAAACCGTTTCGTTCGGGCGTGTGAGCGGTCGGGAGCGATCAGAGTCGGGATGGAAGGAGAGACAGCGCACCGGAAGTGACTTACTCATAGACTTTTTAACGTAACAACTGTTTAATGGTTAACGATAAGCTATACATTAGGGCTGCTGTTAGATACATTTCTCGATTTGATAGTATTAAGATATTGCGTTTTTCCCCGATTTGAGAGAGAAAGTTTACAGAAGTTTCACGTGGCGATAAATACCTTTTGTTTTGCTGTCTTGATGGATATTCTCAAGCAGTCTTGGTGAAGGGAAGAAAGTTCGGAATGTCAGTCCGGTAAAGGAAGTATCCGTAAGAGTTGATAGAACAGTATCTGCAAGGGTGTTAGTCGATGGTTCCGATGATCTTTTTGTAGATATCCGAATAGTGAGGCACTTAGGACAAGGTACTAGTGACAACTTCTCTTTTCGAAAGACGGGCGACTACTGCTACTTTGTTGTCTGTTTTTCATGTTGGATTGTCGAAACGGAGATATTAGGTTGAAAGGTGCTGAGAAAGTGTCGTTATTAAGCCTGAGACTTTAGCAGATGTTTAGCTCCCAGGTGTAAAAGTTGACAGTTATCGAATGAAATTATGGCTACAATGTGAAATGACACTATTAAATGAAAAGATATAAACACAGGGAAAGTTCGGATCCTCACACAAGAAAGACGTTTGTATAACACCAGTTCTGATTTTAGAAAATCTTTGTTTTTAATTGGAAATTTTTGTTTTTTTAAAAGGACTTTTTTAAACTTTTTGGTGGCTAGTAGCCTAGAAAGGAAGGTAGGCACTTAAATAACAATCAAAAAACAAAGTACTATTTATGATCAATAACGATTTAACCATTCATTGTTAAAAATAATGATTTTTGTTTACAGATTTCACTTNATAATTTACAATTTGAAACATTAATTACTTCTTACTTACTGAATTTCCTTGAGTCTAAGACATATTTTTGTATTTATTTTAACTGGTCTAAAATAAAGTTGATTACGGCCTGGAAAATAAAAGTGAAAAAAACATCATTGTAAAAAATCCTGCAACAAAGGAAAACTGAGACAAAAGTCCTGCAACTTTGATTAAATTCATAAAATTATTTTATATAGAAAATAATCATTGTGTTTTAACTTTAGCAGAAGTAATTTGTATATTGGACTTGTTAGAATTTATAAGGTGTGACAATTTAATTCTCAGAATGGCCATGTAGTGTTGCCCGTGACATAATTATATTGAAACAACATGCATATTCGTGTTCAAACATATTTGAACTAATGTATGCAAAAATTTAAAGCTGATAGAGCTAGTTGTTAATTAGCTATTGAGAAGGTAATAGTTATCTATGTGTACTCTTTATCAAAAGTATGGGTGACTAAACAAAAATTTAAAGCAATGTATTAATATTAAATTTTGTATGAAAATTGGCAAATGTTACAGTATGACCAAGAAACAAAATGTCAGAACATGCAATGGAAATCCCCGAGTTCTCTAAAAATGCATGCATGTTGCACTCACAGTTTAAGACCATTCTGGTGTGTTTCTTTGATCATAAGGATTTAAGCAAGCAAAAACAAGGGACCACTGCTTACTAGTGCAAAAAACCAAAAAAGAATTAGGTGGTGTAAAAAATATAAATATGTAGTGACAAATCAAGATTTTGTTTATTTAAGGATGGAAACACAAAGATCTTGCAAAAAAGTGAGGAATGTTATGCTAATTGCATTTCAAAGACTCAAAATTTGCACAAGGAATTATTGTGTATGGAACTTTAACTGCTTATGGACTTGGAAGTTAAAAATTGTAAAGCAAAACAATGATTCATCAGTTTACATTAATATACTGAATGAAAATTTTATACCAACAGCTAAATATTACTTTTCTTATGGTGAATACATTTATCAACAGGATTGTGTACCTGCATATACATCCAAGAAAATGAAATCATATTTTGAAAACATGGAAATAGAATTATTAGATTGGCCTGGCAATTCATCAGACCTTACTTTCATAGAAAAAATATGGGATAGGGTGAAGAAACAACTGAAACAAAAACACATTTTAATTGAAAGATTTAGAGTTACAATTACAAGAACGTAAAAAGTTAATTTATTCCTTGCCACAAAGAATTAAAACAGTTTTAAAGGCCAAAGGTGGAACCACACAATACTAAAATCAAAGTTGCCAGACTTTTGTCCATGACATGTTCTTTACTTTTTTGTATTGCACTTTGAAAATAATTTCATTATAAAAGTTTTGATCTTTTTTAAAAAAAAAAGATTCTTTCTTTTTATTTTATTAATAATTTTAATGTACATTTGTTGTCATATAAAAAACATAATCAAAGTTACTGACTTGTGAGACTAAAAAAAAAGCACTTGTTGCAGGACTTTTGTCCTGTTGTAATTTTTTATAGCATAGTGTAGTGTAGTCATCCTCTGAAAACTAAAATATGAAATTCAAAAATTTAGGTTTATTGATGTGAGGGTCGAACTTAGTGGAATTATTTTATTTAAATATATTTTTGATGAGAGACAAAATTAAAGAGACAAACAAAAACCGACATTTTTAAAGATAATTAAACTGTTTTCCCATGGACTCATTTCCTGGTTGAAGATGATACATCAAGTGTGTCACCTGGAATCTGAGACAGAAAATTCAACTATTGGACGATGATAGAAAAATTCCTAATAAGGCCATGGAAAAAACCCAATGCAGACCCCCTAATAAAAAGGGATGGGTCGATGAGTCGGACAGAGTCCTGGAGTTATCATTGAACTGTACATGTGTTGGCCGCCGCCATAACTGTTCCTAATTGTCACCACTCCGAAGAACTCGTTGACACTTCAAGATTCCCTACATGTGAAAACTTCTACTATCATTTTGTGAATTCTACAGATATTTATCCTCGTGTGAACTTAATGTGAGCCCTCTCTCATTATCAGTTGTTGTTAGGATCATAGTAGTTACGCAATATGTCAGCTTCTGATTAGCATTAGCTAAGCATCTATAATATACAGCTTGTAAATAGTCAATATTGAAAAAACAGGTATTTTTATTTAAATGATAACTTGTGGAGTGTATTTACTCTGGTTCTCTCCTTCTGCCTCCATTCTGGATCAGACAGTCCACACATGCAACCGTTTGAAATAACGACCAATCTGGTTTCTGTGTCTGTCTGTAAAGACAAAGTGGAGTCATCCTGACAAAGCATCAAAGAGGTGCCGATCCTGCGGTCATACTGAATTTCTCAAGTTTTCCTTTATTCTTGTTATAGACCCTGATCATTCCTTTTCATTTCTTATGCCATACTATCATTCCCAAAGAAGTTTCTTATTATTATTTTAGTATAATTTATCAATGTACTGTATTATTAAAAGAATTTATACTTCTCTAGTGGTAAATTTTATTTTTATATAATTTGTTTAACATTTATTCTTATATATACTTGTAAATGGCATAATAACTTCAACATCTCATTTAATTTTAATATTTTTTGTTTATATTAAATTTTATTATTTTCTTAAAATTTTAAATAGAATTATTTACATTTCTTATCATAATTGACAAAATCATCAGACAGTTATTTATAAAATTCAATTGAAAGCATTTACCTAATAATGAATTATATCTATATTATAAACTAGCTGTTACTTGCAGCTTCGCCCACACAGATTTTGCAATATGATAGAAATAACCCTCCCTCAGTACTTCACTAAGATTCTCAATCATTAGTTGTTACTAATTTAGTAAAATTACTGATTTTTGTTTGTTTCAAACTATGGACTGCTAATGCATCTAAATTCAAGTTTCAAATATTATGGGATTCCAAGATACGATAAATCTGAGTTTAATTTTTTTTTCAAAACATAAATGTTGTTATCTGGAAATTCTTAAAGTATAAATATTACAGAAAAATAGAGTTTCAGTTACCTCAGTACCTCTTTGTAAACCACTGCCTTTTGGGGTTAAGACTTTAAGCCTTAATCCTCTCCCCCCCAAGGTGGAATTTCCAAAAATACCTTTTTAGTGCACATTCTCATGATGTACCCTACTAAAATGCAGTTAAAAACAAAAAACTGCATCTAAAATAGTACAGTAAATGCCATTCTTCAGGTTAAGCCTTAATCCTCTCCCTCTCCCCCGCAGGGGAATTTCCGAAAATCCCTTCTTAGTGTGAATATTCATGACATACCCTAACTGTGTATCAAATTTCACCTCTTTAGGTTCAGCAGTTTGCTCTGGGCAATGATGAATCAATCAGTCAGTCAGGAAGGAAGTTTTAATTNTATATATATATATATATATAGATTATAAAAAATCTTTTACAGTATATTATTGTATTAATTTTCTTTAAATATTTTGGAAAAGTAATTTAAATAATAAAAATAAATTTTTATACAAATTAAAATCTTAAACTTTAAAATTATAACACTGATATTTTACCTGAAGTAGCATCTTTTGTTAAGTCTAGTTTATTTGGAGAAAATACTACTAAATCAAATGGTAGGTCAATTAAAGGGGTAAGTAATGTTTCCGCTTTCCTCTCACCAGTGCAATTGAAAAGTAGCACTTTGTATGTATCTCCTCTAAAAAGAAATTACATGTTAAAAAATTATGATAAAAAGTGAATAATAAAACTATTAAATAAGAAATTTACATGTTAGACTCTATTTTCTTGATACATTCTGCATACCACCTGACACATGGTATCATACTTTCGGCAGTATGAGCACCATCTAGGAAGTAAGTAATAGAATCTCTGTGAATCGTTTGATGACGACCGGGCCATCTACAATTCTGAAGACCTAAGAAAATATTTATTAATGAATTTAAAATAATTTAGATTTAAACAAAGTAATAATGAAGTTTGTAGAATATAATTTATATATAGTAAATTTCCCACATTTACAAAAATCACAGATTTACTCAATATTCACATTCACAGAAAAAAAACTTATTTGTGGTTACAGTAATTTGCAACTAGTTTAAATTTAATTTGAAGATATATTATTATTTAGAGTGTGCATATACATGTGTTTGTGTGCACATGCATACACATGTACAATGTACACACTAGCAATATATAAATATATATATATCTAACTCTTGATTTACACAGTTGTTTGGTTCCTTGTTAATCAAAATCAAGTAAGTTGACACTACCATTTATATGGAAAATGGAGGGAAAAATGCAAAGGTTCTATCTTTTGTTAACAATTTAAAAACAAAAATAAAATCTCATTCTGTAACTTCTTCATTTGTTGATAAAGAAATAATTACTATAAGATGCTAAAAATTATCAATATTAGCAGATGTAATCAGATACTTTTCTAATCACTTAAAAGAGGTTTTGGATGAATAAACTAAATTGTTATGTCCTTCCGTGTTGAACTCAGGTAAAAGTCAGATTTGAAGGACATAACAATTTAGTTTATTCATCCAAAACCTCTTTTAAGTGATTAGAAAAGTAAAGAAATAATTATTCTCTTCTTTTTAGTTGAAAAATCACAGATTACTTCTGTTGCTAATTTCTTCAATCCTAGGGTATGTTAATTTACTGAAGACATTAATGATGATCTTTGTTAACAGATTTTATTCAGATAAGCTAGATTTTTATCTACTCGATTACAGTTGAGCATCATTTATCTGAATCAATTTGGGACTGGGGTTGTTCGGATAACTTATTTTTCGGATAACCGATTATGTACGAAAAATATATTAACCTATCCCATCCTGAAATTTTTCTCTGTTGCGTGTCGCTTTGCATTGAATTTTTGTCGATGTTAAGCCCAATGTAAACTTTTTAAAATAATAATCGTGGCTCGTATCGTTAAAAATTATTTCTTTATTTTGTACAAACAAAATAAATATATTGAAAAATATAAAAACAATAAAAAATTATACTTCAGATGTTAATTTAGTATCAAAAACGTAAAATATTTGAGTAGCCCAAGACATAGCCAAAGATTGCAGCACCACAGCACTAGTGAAAATTTAAATTTGCCGACTGGAATTCTTTCGGATAACTGATGTTTCGAATAACCGACTTTTGGATAAATGACGCTCTACTGTATTTATAAATTTATTGATATAAACTGTAATGTGTATTGTATAGTGTAGACAAAAAAGTATAATTCAAAATGAAGAATTCCATTTCTGAACTAGAGGGTTGAAAACAGTGGCAATAAAACTATTATAACTATCTCCTTTTCAAATTACTGGAGCAATCAAAAACAAAACCTTTAAATACCAGTAACAGAACTTTAATGAAAACTCCAAACGTTTTCGGCCTTCACCAAGGCCTGCCTCAGGTTTTTTAATGAAACAGAATTCTAAAACAGAATGTTAGAACAATAATATTTAAAAATCAATTTTTAAAATTTTGAATACCTCACAATGTAAGCCAAATTCATATGATAGAGAGACTATCATACCAAGAAATTCATTTCTTGGATGACAGCATGCGACTCAATAGGGGCTAGGTGGAAATGAACATTTATTACAAATCAGGATACTTACCACTATTCATCCCAGCAAACTCTTCCGACCCTTTTTTGTATAAGATTGCTGCATTCTGTGCCCTAACCAGATGGGCCTACACTCATCATACCAATTGGGATGACGTTCTGCTAGAGTTACAATGTATCAAGGATATAGTGGTAGAACATGGCTAATAAAGAGACCTGATACGTAATTTAGCCGCGCTTACTCCGACCATCTTGCCGCACACAATGTTCTCAACACCCAGACTACTTCTAACAGAAGCCAACAGTGCAACCCAGGCTATAGGTGCACCAAAATACAGTTCAATCAGCATTTGAACTCCTTATACAAAGATATTGCAGGCCATAGTAATACCGAAATTGTATACAGGAGATCCAGTACAATATATAAGTTGCTACGCAACGCAAAGGATAAGATGGATCAAAACAGAGCCCCAGGAGTGTTATTGTATACTGGAAAGGGACGATAGATTCCGAAGGGAATTAGTATATACTTGTTCAACTAAACGATCAATATGAAAGAGTGTACATGAGCATCAATACAACCTTAAGAACAACAGGCCTTGTCCACATATGCCACTGATCTGGATGTGCAGGCAAACTTCCAGAACACCAAGTTAATTAGGCAGGCCTTTCATACGGACTATATTCATAGCCTGGATGCTTTGGAAATATATAAAGCCAGCCTGACTGGCAAATGTATTAACTTTAAAAGACTGCAATACAGTATTGCATGCATGGAAGTACTTTTATGAAAAATTCAGGCAAAGTTAACTATATTAATTCATCTCAGACACTATGTACATCTTAAAAATGTATATGTATGACATGGTCATACATTTATGATTTTTAGTCTCTCTATCATATGAATTTGGCTTACACTGTGAGGCATTTGATATTTTAAAAATTGATTTTTCAAATATTATCGTTCTAACATTCCGTTTTAGAATTTTGTTCCATTAAAAATCCTGAGGCAGGCCAAAAACATTCAGAGTTTTCGTTAAAGTTCTGTTAATGGTATTTAAAGGTTTTGTTTTTATTTGGCAATATAACTGCAATGTCATAGTTAGCAGAGGCCTAAATATTCATTTTATCAATAAAAAAACAATTTTAAAATAAAGTATTGAAGAATATCATCAAATATTAAATTGAAACTAACATTTAAAATGATATTTTATCAGATTTTTCCAACCCTGGTAAACTAAAATCATTAAATTTCAAATTGTGCAATCACACCATGGAAATTGTGTGTGAATATAAGCATGTGTGTAATTTAAATATAATCACAATCTTCATAAATTTAATGAGTTGATTTGATTTATAAAAAAAATTCCAATAATAAAGTTCATTTATTTCTTTTAAATTAGTTTTGAGTTCATGCAGAAAAATTGTAAGTTTTCATTTTTTCCATATTATTTTATGATAATCATTTTTGAAAAACTGAATTTGAAAACAAATTAATTTTGTAAATTCTTTTATAGAATCTTAAAGAATTAACTCTTCAGCTCCATGGTCACTATGAGGGCTGTTTTGAGCAAGCCCATTATGAGTTCAGCCGCACCACAATGGGCAACCAAGAGGAATGTGATGGGGCCCATATATCCATATGGATCACCCACCAAAAAATCCTGGGTCCAAAAACCCAGGATTTTTTGATGGGTGATCCATCCAGGTTCAATTCCAGGTCCCACACAGCAATAGGCTAACACCCTAATCACTTCTCTATCTGGCCATCATTCTAATTATATTAGTTGCAGTTTGCTTTTTCTTTTCATTCATTTAGTATTATAATATAGACTCATAAATTTTCATACTAATTAATTTTCATTACAAAGAAAAACTTTATCTAAATATAAAGTCAAAAAGATTAGTTTTCTACCATATTTGAATTAAAATGACAATTCAAATATTCTAAAAAATAACTAAATCTTGATGCCGAGAAATCAAGATTATTTTTTCCCATACATTATAAAAGTAATTATTTACATATTCAGCATTCACGATACTTTCTGAAAATTAACTCTTGAAACTACATACGAATTACTGAATAATTACATAATACAATTTACCTTCTGCAAATTTTGTACTGATTGAAAATGGCAAAGCTAATGGAGGAGGCAAATAATGATTATCTGCACCAAAATTCAATGGAAAGATAGTAGATGCTTTCTTCTGTGAGGAATCTAAATTAAAATAATAATACTTTTTATTTAAATTTATTTCACTTAAATTTCATTATTATATAATTTCTGTTATAAGTTCAAACTTGGTTAATTCGAATTTTTGAATAATTTGAATTCTACAAATTTTCCTTGAGTTTCTCAATAAATGTAATGTAAAAATTACCTGTTTAATTTGAATTTTTTTTTCTAATTTTTGGGATAATTTGAAGCTGGAGTAGCTTAGTTCATACTGAGCAACTAGCAAAAAGCAAATTTGAAAAGTGAAAAACAGATACAAAACTAGTATGGACTGCAGAAAGTGATTTCAAATTTTGAGCAGCCAACATTTACAAGCAAGAGAGAAACATCATCAGTAAAAACAAAATACTTCTGACATTCTGTTTTTAACCACTATTGGATACTTAAATATAAACATCCATTGAGTTCTGTAATATGCTTCTTGTCTAGTCTTGTACAGGTATACCTCAACTTACGTCGTTTCGAGTTACGTCGTTCCCGATTATATGTCGTTTGTCAAAAAAGTATACGAAAAAATAAAAATCAAGTTTAAGTCATTTTATTCGACTTTACGTCCGTCCGCCACAAATATTGAAGTCGTAATATCACTAGAAAAGCGTTTAAAGCACATAAAATCATATTAAAATATACACATTTACAAGTATGTACTGTATTTACAGTACAGTACATGCATTCGTAAATTTAGATTACTTTTTTCTGTACTCTATTAAAAACTAAAATTTATTTGTTTATAAGCTTAAAATACGTTTTTATTAACCATATATTATTAAAAATGCATTAATAAATAAAATACAGAACTGGAAATAGTAATTTATGGTTTAGCCTAGTGACAAGTACATTCGGAGACAAGTAAATTCGACATACGTCATTTTTCGACTTAAGTCGTTTTCCTGGAACCAATTACCGACGTAAGGCGAGGTATACCTGTATTTAATTTTTGAGCTCTATGATGGCTTTTCTTTTCCGCTAGACTTATTACACCATCCGGATCCATTACGGATAAGTCTAGCGGAAAAGAAAAGCCATTATAGAACTCATAAATTGAATAAACATCCACATCAAATGATCAAATACATAGCAATAACCCTCCAGCTGCAATATAACATGTTATATGGCAGCTGGAGGGTTATTGCTTACTTGTTACAGAAAATGAAAGATATGTTAAAGAAAATGATGTTGGTTGAGAGAAATATTTAAAAGTGTGAATTTAAAGAATATGCCAATTTTGATGTCTACTCTGTTGTATGATGATTTTGTAACCATCTTTAAAACCAATAAGAATACCCAACAACAAATGGCACTGTGATAAGTAGCAAAATGTTTTGGTTAGTGATAAAGTTCAACAGTTCTGAACTTCTGAGTGATTTGCAAAATGGTAAAATTTTCCAGAAACAACATCATATATGATGTGTTATTCCCTCTGATTCACTCTCAGTGTGAATTAAGTTTATAAGAAAATGTGACAACCAAATTAATTACATTTTATCTGTATTACTTAATAATTATCAATAAAATTGTTTAATTGAAATTATTTTGCACTTTCCTTGAAAATTGAGTTAACCAAGTTTGACTTTGTATATACATAAAAGTATATTTTATACATCCTAAATCCTTGGTTACAGGCTGTAATCTATAAAAACGTTGCATTTGTAAAATTCATTGCATGCAACCTATATACAAGGACAACTAATACATAATAAATGTAAGAAACATAATGAACCAATTACGTGTGTGAAGGATAAAGTTGCCAGATATTTTCAATCAGCAGTTACCAAAAGTGCTTCAAAAGAAGCTAAAAATTGCCAAAAAGTTGCCACATTTGTATTTTACAAAATCTAACTGATATGAAATAAAATTAAGTATGCATAGTCTGATCACATCTTCTTTCTCTGTGATATACAGTACCAGTAAAAATAATTTTAAAGCATTAGTGAAAACTGGCAAAAATGATCAACAAAGTGACATACAATTAACTTTAGTACATAGCCCAGTGAGATTTACATAAATGTTATTCTTGATGTTGTTCGTTTCCTATTGGTCTTTATTCTGAAATCATACACTAAAACCTTGGCTATACACTACATCCTATATGTGAGAGTATCTTATCCAACAGAAAATCAACATTCTTTTACAACTTTTGCTTTTGCAGCTAATACACAAGATGGCCTATAGCCAAAATTTTAGGGTGTTTTTGTTTTAAACCATTGTACTTAATTTATTTCATTTGAAATTCAAGAATTTTCATTTTGAATAACAAGTATAAGTCCAAAAACAAAATGTTGTTAATTTTAAGAATGTTCTATTCTTATCATTAATTTTATCCAAGATTAATTTTATTCTTCTGTAATTATTATTTATAACCAAAAAAACATTTTAATGAATTTTTAATGATTAATTCTTTTGAAGACAAAATCCTTTCCAAAAAATAGGAACCACCATTTATTAACTTTGTGTTCCAGACATTACACTTTTGGCGACTGACCTTTTCTTTTAGGCTACTGGCTGCCAAACAGTCCTTTAAAAAACAAAAATATCCAGTTAAAAATGTTTATATTTTTAACTGTTTGGCGGCCAGTAGCCTAAAAGAAAAGGTCAGTTGCCAAAAGTGTAATGTCTGGAACACAAAGTTAATAAATGGTGGCTCCTATTTTTTGGAAAGGATTTTGTCTTCAGAAGAATTAATCATAATTATCTCCATCGGACAAAAATTTACAAAAAAAAAAAACATTTTAATGGTTTAAATTAATTTGTTTTAATTGACTTTCATCTAAAAGGATAACAAAAGAGTTTGTTTTTATTCACTTATATACAAATCCTATGACACTGCTAAAAAACAAACTTTTAATATTTTGGTATCATTTCTCATAGGTTTATTTATCAATCTTACATTTCTACAATCTTAAAATTTATGGATAGAAATAATCCAAATGAGTATTCTGAAATCATCATGTAACTAGAAATAACTAGAAACAAAATTAAATATTAAATAGCAGGCAAGAAAACCTTCTCTTAGAAAGAAAATAGATAAGGTGAAGTTTTTGAATGTAAAAACATAATGGTATGAACATAATAATTTTGAAAAAATTATTCAAGTCATCTTCAATTTTTTAAATATATTCAGATCAGAGAATGCAGATATTTCATGATTAACTGTATTATGTTCAATAAATGTCAAATTTATTGAGCATTATTTTATCCAGATACATGTATATTGAGAATAAACATCTTTATACATTTTTAATATTTATGTTTATCAACTGAAAATGACTTTCATGAAAATAATATTTAATTCATAAATGTACACACTAAGACAAAAGTATTAATGTCTACCTTGTTTTCTCTGATTAATCCAACTTTGACATAATTGCAATGCTAAAGAAGCATTTGTTGTTTGGACATCACCCGGAATTCCTAACTTCACAACTTTTTCCCATTCATAAGTAGAAAGAGGAGGTACAACATGTAGAGAACACTATCAAAAAAATTAAATACATAATACAATTTATTAATATGCATAAGTAAAATGTACAAAAATTAAATTTAAAAATATTGATTAGAAATATTTCTAACAAATTACAAAATACACAATATAAATTTATATGTGTTTTATTTGTAGCTTAACTTAACTTATATATATATATATACAGTAACACCCCGAACTTACACGATAGGTGGGACCGAGCGATAACTGTAAGTAGGAGTATAATTTCGCATATAAATACATACAAATAATTTTTAATTGGGATTTTAATTTTTAATAAGAAAACAATTTAGAAAAAATGTTTAATAAAATCTTAGATAATACATATGTATAACAAATTATATTATTATACAATTTTTCACATTTACTTGATTATCACACCATAATTTTAACATTGTTTCCATCTCAGGAATAATACCGTGACGTTTACGAATGATGCTTGAATTTAAAGATTGAGCATTTTTTTACAACTACAAGAATTTTTTCTTTACCTTTTATAATTGTTCTGACCGTCGATTTTAGGAGATCAAACTCCTTTGCCAATTCACAAATTTTCATTTTGTATCGAAGTCTTTAATAATGTTAACTTTACATTCCAAAGATAAAGTTTTTCTTTTCTTGTTTGATGCAGAAGAATCAGTTCTACTTCGTTTAGATGACATAGTAGAATCTCTCGAGTCTCCGTAGATATAACAAACACAGAAATAAATAACACAAAATAAATTGTAGCTATATGTCGATTCCGTGCGACACGTCCTAACACGTAAGCTGAACAATAGTGCGGGGGGAGTGAGTAATCGAGAGTTGCGTGGTGCTCAAACAAAAGACGAATCGATGAGATTTGAAAATTGCGTAACTCCGGGTTTGCGTGAGTCGGGGTAGCATAAGTCTAGGTATTACTGTATATACAAGGATCACATAGATTTAAAGATTTAGTTAAATTTTCTTTTATTTATAAGACTTTTACTTATATTTAGCTGCTGTTAAATGTAAAAAGAAAATAAATAAAATACAAAAACCAGTCAGTCAATTTAGTAATAAAATATATTTTACATTAATCTCAGAGGCCTTCTTCTGTAAAACTTTCATAGCTTCTTGGGGTTGTGAAACAGTAAAGGCAGGAACTCCTGTTTTAAATATCCCAGCTTTTTGCCAAGCTATTTCTTCAATAGTCTTTCCAAGTATGGCAACGTGATCATAACCGAGAGACGTAACCCCAGTCACAACAGGCAATCTGAAAAAATAATCCATAATTTTTGTTGTTTATTAAATTGCATTAAATTTCCATTAATCTTTACATTAAATTTCCATTAAATTTCATTTATTCCATAAATGAAATTTAATGGAAATTTAATGTAAAGATGAACATTACTAGACAATATTTCTTTCTAAGTTTAATGTTTCACTCTTTTCTCATATTAAAACTTTATAAAAAGTTAAACATACAGACATATCTTATATTTCAAAACAATACCTTTCACACTTTTCCAGCAAGAGTTGATTTAAGATATTCAAAAAATATGTTTTTGAAATTCCACAACAGAATGTTAAATGCATATGACATTACTGTTTAAATTTAAAATATTCAACCCATAAGAATAAGTATACCTTTAAAATACAAAATGTAACTTAAATATATTGCAAAATTATTTTTGAATATAATTAAGTACACATTGTATATAGGGATTGCAATTGCTGGATCCCTCATCCAGCAATCCAGCTGGATCCAGCACATTTTTCGGCCTGTTGGATCCAGCGCTGCGGATCTGCAAATACTCAATTAACTTTCTAAATAATGGCACAAAAGTCTACGTTGTCGGCCTTGCCGTTTTGCTATGTGCACTATCACTTGGCAACAAGAGCGACATTTCTGTTCAGTGTGGCACGTGCTATACCCCCTCTCTATACCACATCGCCTGCCCTTTTACCTCTGCTGATCTAATTGCCAGTTGACTTTCCACTCTCGCTAAATAAAGTGTCTTCACGCTAAATAAAATAAGTAATTCCTATCCTAGTCCTGGTGCAAATTCTAATTTACGGTCAGTTGTGACGTCAATGAATCACGTGACGGAACGATCGCAGTTTAAACCGGCCATAGAAGTTCTCTGCAGAAGAGTCAAGTTTGATAACTGCTGACACAACCCTTAAATTTGTCTTAGATAAACTAAAAAGCCAGGACACAAAAGAATCAGAGAACGGCATCTTACCAAGGTCACAAGGATGCTGATTTACATACAGAACCCGAAGAAGTATGATCAAAAAGTTAGAAAGCTTTATTTTTCACATGCTGAAAAAATGTAATGTGCAAGGAGATGAAAAATATGCTGAATCATGTAAATACATATGTAGTGGAACCAGCAGCAATGGCAAAGGATATTATGAAAATGGAAATCTAGATAACCCTGATTCCCTGAATTTCACTTTGGAACAAGAATTAGAGACCCAACTAAAGTGTGAGAAAGAAAACTTCATAAAATGGAAAGAAACTAGTACTGAGAAGGATTATGATAAGTTATTAAAAAAGGAAATGTCTGTTTAGGAAAGTGAGGGAGTCATAGGTGAAAACTTATGTTTGATTTATCATTATTTAATGACACTGAAACCAACTAGCATAGAGGCAGAAAAGGCCTTCTATTCCCACTGCCACTACCTAAAGTTAGAGGCAATGGGATATATATGCAGTTCATTAAGAAGTAGGTGGGAGACAACACCATCAATACCATGTTTCTTGAGATCCTACTTTTAGAAAAGTCAAAAAAATAACAGAAGTGATTGATTTAATTTTATTTAATCCTTTAAAATACTTTATTCAAGACAAGACTAATATTTTATAACTTCTACTCTAATTCTATTAAGTAAGAGTTTTTAACTTTTATTCTATAAGTGGTTAGTGGGCTAGACTAGGCAATTTTATTGTTAAAATTAGTAAGAAACTGAGACTACCTAGTCAGTTAAATAGTTTATTGAATTAATGAGTATCAGTATCTTAGATATATATTAATGAGTATCAATATCTTAGATATATGATGATATGAAAGTATGTGATTCATGATTGTGATAATAATAACTAACTACTAGACTACTACTAATTACTTACTCACTACTTTACTAACACTAATAATTAAATTACTTATAAATAACTACAGACTGATATGTAGAGCCTATATAAGAAACTGATAAGACTAATAGCCACTTAGCCACTGATTATCCGTCCTTACATTATTATAATATAATATATTAATATAAATTAATTAGTAGAATTACCTTTGCTATTATTTAACTTAAAGATTACATTATAATTATAATCTAACTAAACATTTAAAGTTAATTATCTCTATCTCAAGTGTTAAACCGAACCAAAGTTAAGTTTACTACCTAAATGTGTAAGAAGTTTTACTGATTTATAGTGACCAGTCTAAATAATAAAAGTTTCTTAAGTATTTAAAAAATGTTTTATTTCTTTAAAAAAAACCCATAAATTTCTGGATAGATAGATAACAATTTATTGCACCAAAAACATCCGCGCATCATTCCAGCTGGATCCGCACTGGATCCATCTGGAATGATGTTGGTCCAGCAAAAATCCAGCTGGATTTCAATCCCTAATTGTATGCCATTCAAGACTGGACATGTGCCATTCAAGTGGATATTCATGTTTTGTCTTATAACTTTTCATAGTGACATCCATTTTAGGGGATTAATCAAGTGACAATATCTAGAGTAATTATATATATAATTTTTACACAAGATTGAATGAAAGTACATTACCTTTCTTATCAATGATGAATGTTATTTGCACTACTTTTATTTCTTTTATGATTTTTCAACACGTTTATAATGGCATAATCAAACTATAACATATATTATGCTTTATCAAAACATTTTGAGTCTTATTTCATTAAAATTAATATGTAAATTCATATTATAATTTCTTTATTTCTATAATTTCTTAATTCAAGATATAATAATTTATAGTAAATTACAATGAAATCTAACTATACTTGGTAGCCATAGACTACATTCTGTACTTAGAACTGCTTTGATTCATTATATTATGACATAATTAAAAAAAAATACACACAAAAGTTAACTCTAATATTTTGTATCATTGCCCTTCTTCCATGCTTACAATCACTCAACAAATTCTAAAATTATGAAGAGTAAAGTAACTTTTAATTTCTTATTGGCTATAGTCAGATATGATGATATGCCAATAGATTATCATCCTTTCTGTTATAGCCAATGTTTCAACATTCCTGATACAAGGTGCTAGTTACTTCATCATTATCAGTAAGATATTCTACAATGCCTTTTGTGAATGTCATCTATTACAAGTCATTAAACTGTCAATTTTAACAATATCATTAACATATGACATTGTTATTAACAACACTTTTGTGAATCCAGCCCTTATTTTGTTATAAAACTTTACTTGAAAAAATATTTAAAATATAAATACCTCACAATGTTTGTGTTGTCATATAAACCACCAACGCCAACTTCTATAATAGCAACGTCTACCTATTTAAAAATATAAAACATTGGAATTATCAAAAATAATAATGATTTTATATTTGCAATTGATAAAAATTTTCAAATATAATCTGTAATCTTCATTATGACAAATTTAAATTGTAGTTTTATTTATTTATTTAACTCAAACATTTTAATTATAATTAATAAAGAATAATTATTTGTTTATATATTTTGTTTTTGGACAATTTTTCATTAACTTTGTTGAATCAATTAGATTATTATAAACAATACACGAATCTTTTATTTATTGTCAGTATCGGCTCTAGGTACAATCAAATTGTTGGACGCATAGGGTGCTGCGAGAAAATGGATATAAAATTTTCACTATTTATACATTAATTAGCAAGCCCAGATTGTACCAAACTTCTTGCTTAGTATGCAGAGAAGCCTAGAGCCAGTACTGTTTATTGTATGTACGTCATCAGTCATCTTACTTCATTTTGTTAATCATCAATTAGCATTGTAATATGATAAGTACCAATTTATTTAGTAAATAAAACCAAAACAGTATTATTGAATCAATATTTAAAAACTGACTGTTTCATACTAACTGTTTATTTTGAAGAAGAATAACATTATTATTTTTAGTGCTTTAAAGCATTGGTTGGCAAACTTCTTTAATTGTCCACCCTTTTATCAATAAAGAAAAATAGCACACACAAAGCAATCATCTAGAATTTTAGAACTTTTAGATTTAAAATTAACACCTGGGTACTTAAATACAATATTAGAAAAAATTATTCATCTCATTCTATTTATTACTACTTTATCATTATGAATCCACTTTACTATAGTTACATTTAAAGTAAAGTTAACATACACATATTCAAATAATAAATACGGTGATTTTAATAATATTTTCTGTTATTATTTTACAATTATGTGCTTATTTCTATACTTGCAATTTATTATATTTCTAATAAATAAGACTTTTTAAGAATTTTAATTATTATTTATTTTTCAGTTTATCATAATTGAACATTTAACGAGATATCTGAGAAAAGCAATTAACATTAAGACTTAATTTACATTTAAAAGTGGCATGACAATTGCCTTTCGAAACCTGCCCAATATCTTGTTATTTCTAAGTTAAAATAATTTGACCTAAATATGGAAATTATAGATATATTTTTGATTTTAAAAAATTTTATTTTAAATGAAATAACCCAGTGTTATGAATATATATTTTTTACTACATTATGTATAAATTTATATCTTATAACAATGAAAAACTCGTATAATCAATTTAAAGAGATTTTAATTTTGACAGTACACTTATTGTTCTTGGGCTTCTTTCAGAAATAATCTATTTAATAACCTTCGAAACTTTTCACAATACAACTACAATCTTCTCGTGGCATACTAGTTGAAAATCACTGCTGTAGAGCATTGAATCATATTATATATTCTATAATAAAATATTTCTGACATAAAAATTATCAGTTTTTAATTTTTTAATATAGTGTTATAGCAATTAGAAAATAATCTTCAAAAATGAATGAAATGAAGCTAATCAGTTAATCAAATTTTTCCAATTGGCAGAGTAATTAAAAGAAATTTGATAATATAGATAAAATATTTAAGATAAAACTTCTGAGAATCTTTCTAGAACAAATTTTAGAAAGACCTGAATATTTTGATACATCAATACATATATTTTTTTATACTATTTTGTTAAGATTGTAAAAGTTTCTAATTCTTTTAATAAACATCTCAATTAAATATATTATCCACCGAGAATAAATCTCAAAGATTTAGTTCTATTATTATTCAAACAGCCAAATATTTATTTAATTATATATTTAAATTTCTGTCTACCATGCACATACAAACATTACATATATGATTATGCATGTATAATTTTAATTTGAATTTATTAAAACACTATGTTTACCATTTTCTTTATTTTTATAAATAGAATGGTAATCACACCAAAAGTAAGAGAAATTATACAGCAATAATTCCTTTAAAAAGTTTTTCATTATGGCTGATTGTAAATTCTTGAGGTAGGCATGTTATCTCCAGCAGATAAAAGAAGTATTAAAAATTTAATGCTTTTTCTATGGAAAAATCCTTTTCCAAAAGTTCTTGAAAAAGAAAGCAGATATAACCACACAGTTTTTTCATTAAAATTCAATTTAATTTTTCTATTTCTGTATAGTTTAGAATTTGAAAATCAAAATCATTAATTTTCTATGAATTTTTAAAAGGTATGTAAATTTGTAGAAAATCAACAAATTGATTTTCAAAGATTTGCAAATATAGATAATTTTTTTAGTATTTTATTGTCTTTAGACAATAAAATATTAAAATATCAGTAGCCCCTTAATACAGAACTTTCAGCATAAATTGAACATAAAAAATAATAGTGATAATGAGTTAAGTTTCCTAAGGTCTATATAAAGTATAATGATATTGCATATAAATGTATATCAGTGTTTCTCAACGGGGGCGATATCGCCCCCATGTGGGCGTTTTTCCATGTTGAGGGAGCGATTAGTAACAATTTACATTTTGGGGGCAAAAAACAATTTTCTGGGCAATATAGTAAAATATTATATTAAGAATAATTAGATATTTTATTCGTTATATCGTGCAATAATTAAACAAATAACATTATACTAGTCACTAGTCTATTCAATTCAGTACGACTTTGGCGTTAGTCTTGGCCCTTGGCATCGGAATTTTAAAGTGAAGGGGGCGATAATAGGTAATGGTTTTATTGAAGGGGGCGATACCACGTTGAAGGGGGCGATGATTCGTTAGAGGTTGAGAAACACTGATGTATATTGTAATCAGTTAATGTTTTGGGGTATTGTAATACAATACAGAATGTGTTTATGTGTATTGATCTTCAAACCAATATTTAGTGTTTTAAATCATACTGGTATTTTAATTAATACAGTCAACCCCCCCTATAATTACGATTCCTATAAAACTGCGAAAAAATTGTGACGGTATCCATAAAAACCGGTAAAAAACTCCTATAATTATGTAAAATGTCATCGGGCAGCCGAACTACTTTCCTGCCGTCCGTAGCGTGGCGCTACGGAGCGATTACTATCGTCTGTACAGTATTATATATAAATTAGGTACTGTACATATAATTATATATTAATTATATATAAATTAGGTACTGTAAATATAATTATATATTAAGTATATATAATTATATATTAACTTAATTTATTGTAACTTTATTATAATTATATATATTTTTTCCGCCGCGTGGCGCCACGCTACAGAGATTTTACGCTAACTATCGTCTGTACAGTATGTAAATTAGCTACCGTAAGTCTAATACAGTACTGTAATTTTATACATTTCTTGTGAAAGAAACATTTCTTATTCAACGGCGATTAAAATTATTTATATTAATGATGTCTTCAAAGTTCAAGGAAGTTTTCGCAGAAAAATAAGTTATTAGAAATCGGCTGCGTTTGCTGAGCTGTTCCGCGATAAAAACAATGTTGAGCAATGGCGATGTCGAATGGTGACACTCGGTAAGTAATCCCACAATTTTTTATTTATAGCGTAGTTTATACTGATTATTTCCAAAAAAAATATACGTATTTTAAAAATGTTGAGTCGGATTAGTCTAGAATCGATTAATTTTATGGAAGAAAACCTTTCAATCAGCCGTAGTCCGTAAACTTTACACGTGTCAGGCTGTGATTGGAACGACTCGTAAGAAATCGGATTCCTAAAAAATGGAACGTATCTATGATCTTATAGGGGGGTTGACTGTACTTCATTATGATATTTTATTAACTGCCATCCGACGCGCCAGTGGTCGTACTAGTTAGGGCCATATAGAGCCATCCGACCACCCGACGTCGCTATAACCAATGTAGATTTCACTCAAGGTTAAATTATCCTGGCTTCGTAAGACATTGTTTTACATCCTAGTGGTGGCCTCTCGTGGACATCTATAAAGTTGGCTCTAGTCGCTGGCTGTCGTATGGCCTCATGAAGTGGTTCGACGACCGGCAGTTGTAGTGTTTTTTTTAATAAAAATCTATTTTATATCTGATAGTGTTTTTTTAATAGTAAATAGTTAAAAAAAAAGGAAAAAAATATCGAATACTAGTTTAATTATTCTCTTTTATTGCATATAATACAAATAATATTACAAAACAAAAATCAAAGTATATAAGTGCGAAATAATATATATTTACAGAAAAAAACATGTGCAGTCCAAACAAATTGTAAAATACTTTTAACACATAGATGTAAAACCTTTTAATTAGGTGAGCACATGTAATTACAGCGGGTTTTTAATATAAATAGCCGGTGGTCTTATAGTCTCCGGTTCAAGGCCATATGACTGCCAGTTGTCGTTCATATATTTTTTTTATCTTCACTCTATTGACTGTTATATAACGACCCTTCTATTTACATTATAATAAAATATTAAATATCAAATTTTCTCATTGTGGCCGATAAATATGCAAAATATCATATTACAGGCGGCAGTCAATGTGTTAATAGCAGATGTCTGCATTGGTCCTTTCATCTTTCTCTTTTTCAGAAGAAAGCACATCTTGCGAGATTCTTTGTTCTTCATTCAAGAGTTCTTGGGGTTCTTCTGATGTCAGATCAGTTTCAGATTCCATTATGAACTATCCAATGTCATCTTCATTCACCTTCAATTCGAAATCTCTAGCAGTTGTCACAATTTCATCCATAATTTCAGGGACATCATCTCCATCTCATTGAATGCAGGAGGGACACAGCTTTCGCCAAGCAGAATCCAACTCTCATTGAATTACTTCTGACCACGCCTTTTAAATGAGTTGTCTGACCATGCTTTTTGAATGAGTCAGATAGCTTCAACAATATCGAAGTTTTCTTTCCAAAACATTAAAAATGTTTTGGAAAGAAAACTTTGAGGAGAACTAACATGTTTCAAAATACCTAGAATTCTATCACTTCATGTGACGAATGTGGAATTTGTGGATTCAGTTCTCCAAAAATTTCTCTAGCTTTCTTTTGAATGATAGTCATACTAATTACATCTCTTTTCATTTCCATTTCTTTTATGTAAATTAAAAGCAATCTCTCCATTTTTTTCATGGATAGCATATCTTTGTTTCTCAGATGTGATTTTCGTTACTCCTTTAGCTCCTTGAGTCTTCTTGATTATATCTTTCTTAGCTAAGATTGTGCCTACTATAGACCTGTTTAAGCCATACTGCCTAGCAACATCAGACATCTTCTGCCCACTCTTTACCTTGGCTATTATCTCTTGCTTGGTTTCTATAGTGAGCATGGTTCTTGAAACTCCACTCTTTTTAGGCTCCATAATATTATCAATTTCTTTTTGAAATAAAAAGTTCAGAAAGGCATTCACAAAGATTTGGAGAACAGAAAGCAACTAGCACACAAGAATTATGTAAATGTGAGGCCTGAATGAAATTCAAAATTTTGGTGTTAAAACGTTAACAAATATCCGATAGGACAGTTAAACTCTCACCTTTAGAAAATAAAAACTGTCACAAAACTTAACAAGTGCCCGATAGTCTCACAAAGACTATAAAAAATTATTTGTCAGAAAGGTAAACAAAAAGCTGGAATTACAATAGAGAGTTTCAAAGTTTGGAAGAATTCTATCCGATCGGTATTGGGTTGATTGTGGATGTAAATGTCTACTGTGCTCTGAAAGGTTTCGAATTGTTACCTGAAAACAAGAGAAAACCAATCAGTATTCATTATTTTACATTGCTTCTTTTTGTGCTTGTTCTGTGAAGTGTTCGTTGTCAGAACATAAAAATCTTTCACAGAAGTGTTCATTGTCAAATTTGTTCATAGTCTGAACTATTTGTTAACAAATCACCCACTGTATTTAGTCACTACAGGAATTGAGAGTTAGAATGCAATATAAAAATAATCAATCTAACTGGTGTCAGGATTGACAGAGAAAGAGATCTCCTGAACTTTAGTCTCCCAAAAGTTTAGATAAACCTTCTGAAGCCATCCTAGACAAGTGGGCAAGGTTTTACCGACCCCGATCTCACAGTATTGTTAGCGTGACTGACCGTTTGAAGTCAGAAATAGTTTTTATGCACTAGTTTTGACTGTTGTTAAGTAAAGTTGGTTGTAAATCAGGTACTAACTATATATGTAAAAAAATTTTTATGAACTTATTACTCATGTATTAAGTTTATATAATTCACCTGAAAATCAGATAAATTATATAGATGTGTATGTATCTAAACCGGAAAGAGGTTAAATGACTTTTAAAGCCAAAGCAGGCATAATTGCCTAATCCTTGAACAATCCAAGATGTACATATCCATAAAAATTTGAATAAACCAATATGTTAATAACCAATATTTACAAATATAAACATCAATTAACCTGATTTTTATACTAATACCAAACAGTTACTTCATATTTAATTATAATAGTATCATTAATATAGTCTGATATAACCCAACAATTTGACATAATGTTAATATTTTTTAATTAGTTACATAATGTTTACTAAAATTTATACTATATTCTTACCTTTTCTTGAAGAAACACATAAAATGCCATTATTGTTAAAAACATAAAATAAGGTGGCATGGATACTTCTTCAGCCTTTTCCTGAAAAACAAGTTAAAAATGTCACTGACCATAATAAAAATAATTATCACAAAAATTTAACCGAAAATAAAAAAATAGCCGTCTTTTCATGTTAAGATTCTTTAATAAAAATAAAAATGTGTACACAAGTTATTTCAATGAGCATTACCATCTTCACCAGGCAAAAAAATTTTTGTAGAATGATACATCAAACAAAAATTTTTTTAAACAAAAGAATGTAAGTTTAAAAAATCAATCACTTCTTATAAACATTATTAATAATCTAAAACTATTAAAAACTAATACTAATATTAAAAACATTAAAACTAATAAAAATTATTAATGATCTTTTTGTCAATTTTTAAAAATTTGACCAAATGCAAAAGAAATATAATGACCATAAAACAGGTTTTTAAATATTAGAAAAAAGGTATAAGATCAATAGATCCTTATAAGAAATGTAAAAATTAAAACTATAATTTTAACAAACTGGCTAACAGCACCATATCCACAAAATTAACTTTTTTAGTAATTTAAAAAGCAACACTCAAGTCAAAGGTCAATCTATTATAGGAATACATATTTGTTATTTAATAGGATTTGCAGATAAATATGGTTCTCTGGTACATACACAATAATACAAGAAATCATAATCAAGAAATGGACATAATCAAGAAATTGTGAAATCCAACCACCTCGATTGTAACAGACGGAAGGCAAATGTTCATCGAAAAGTTAATTTATGTAAACTTCTAAAATGGTATAAACATCCCCCTTGTAACAGGCTATTGCCTATTACGTTAATAAACATTGATTGATTAATTGATACATACACAATAATGCTTCCAACCAGAACATAACATAATTACAATAATAAACTGATTTAATTTCTGGCATTAAGACAAAACCAAGAGAGTAGATATAAATTCATTTAAAATAAACAAAGATTTATGAAAAGCAGTAATAAGAGCCAAAAAATTATGGAATTATAAATTTTACAATTTAATTAATTGAAATCTAGTATAAACATGGCTCAAAAATCCAGCAATTCATATCCATGATTTGCAAAAACTTTGTTGTTTTATATCAAAATATAGTTTAGAAGCATTAGCAATGATTCAAAATATTATAATGCATTTGCCCCAAGTTTTAAAACTTTGGCTAATCTATAATTTCAAATCAATTTCTAAGTAAATATAAAGAAACTAAGAGTATGAAAGATACATATAACAGAACAAAGAGAAGTTATTTCTAATAAGTTACGATTAAGCAATTATTAATTATAAGTAACTAGCTGACTGCTCATCATATGACAGAATGTATGTAAAATAGTATTGTAAAGTCACACTTGTAAAGTTTATTTACCTATTTCACTATAACATATACAAAGAAAACAGTTTTATTCATTTCTTATTTTCTGTACATTGTAGATTACTTCAAACAGCTTGTTTGAAGTAATTAACATTGCTTTGAAAATACAGAGTAGCAATTAACAAGCAGTTATAGCAGAAGTGTAACCATATTATCAATGTTTGGCTAACTTTACAGTTAGGTAAACATTGATCATATAGTTGCACTTCTATTGTAACTGCTAAAAATGATACGAAAGAATTAGAAAAAAGTATAAAAAGTAGGAAAATTAAATTAATTAGTACAGTGAAATAAATATTATAATACAAATGTTTGAAAGAAATAGTTAAAACTCCCACTTTCTAATTACAACTGCTTAGAATAAATAGACAAATGCATCATACAACTAATATTTGCATAGCATTACATAGTGAATGACACTGTGAAACTATTATAAGTTGACAGTGTAATGAGTCACTATTATTATAATTACGTTGTTTAAATATTGTTTCTCTTTAACAACAATCTTAATTTACTGAATTTAAAGTTTTTACAGGTGTGTAATTAATTAAACACATCTTTAAAAACTTTAAAATTCAGTAAATAACATTGCCTTCAGGTCTATTAAAGTTATTTACTGGAATTTTAAGGTTTTTAAAGGTGTGTAATTATCACTTATACATGTCCAGTTTATGTAGATGTTAAAAATAAAAACAATCTTGAAGGTTTTAATAAAATTTAGGGCAATTTTTTAATAAAAATATTTGGCAGAATAATACAATTACTATGTACAAATTAAAATTTATATAGTTTCAGAAACATTTAAAAATTAATTGTTAAATTATTATTTGACTAAACTAAAAAATAATAAAAACTTTAATACAAATAACATACTTGTAATTTTAATTTGTTATAAACCTCCCAAAAATATGACGTAAACATTTCTTTACACAGAGGTTTTCCATTTATTCGAATTCTTTCTCTAACAGCAACTAAATGAGGAGAACTGTAGAAATAAAAGTTTTATCTTTGGAAAACAAAAAATGAAAATAAATAAAACTTTGATTTTCTTTGTTTACAAACTGATAAAAGTTTTATATAAATTACATTTTATTCTATCGTAATACGTTACCTGTAGAAACCCGTTTTAACTCCTCGATGACGTAACATACTTTCCGTAAAAGCACACGTAGATCCTTTGCCTTTTGTACCAGAGATATGAATGATATTTAATCTATCTAAGTCAGTAGGCTGTAAAATATAAACATTTTCCTTAATCATTTTTGATCATTATCAATTTATATATTTTAATATAAATTACATTTAACAAAATAATAACAAATTTTACTTTAAAATGTTTTCATCTTAAATATTAATACTTACAAATTTAAAAATTAATCCACGAAATTAACTATAATTAAATATATNGAACATTAAATTGTAAAATTATTTTAAAAATTTGTTCATTTAATTTTATCTCTAGGTCGTAGATATAGTGGTATTACGATAAACACGGAGTAAAGCAAACGTAACACACGACGATTTCGTCATTAGATTTCGAAAATAAAACCAACAATTTAGGTTTTAAATTATTTCAAATTAAAATCGAAACGGAAGAAGTTTCCGGCAATCGTACAGTTAAAAAAATTAATTTTAATCTAATTATTGCTTATATTTAAAATTTTAAATTTCGCACTTAAATATAATATATAATAAAGTTTCACTATTAAAAATTAACTTTCAAAAATTAAAAAAATAAATAACATTTCAATGCCATTTCTTAAATTAAAAAGTAATATTTTAAATTCTTTTATAATTTAATAAAAAACTTGTTTTAAATTCATTAACTATAACTTACAAACATTAAAAAACAACTCAATAAATTTTGTAAAAAATACAGTTATACAATAAAAAGCAATAAAATAAAAACTATTCAAATAAAGTTAACATAATCTGTAATTGTGTTTTTTATAGGAAAAATCTCAAATTTACAAATGGATTCAATTACGGCCAGTTTTTCAAAGATAAAATTGTTTTAAAATATATTTAATCTTTCTTTA